GGACCTTTGAATCCAGCTCCTGTTTGCAACGTCATCAAAAGGGCAATAACACGACACATGGCGTTTCATAAGCGCATATACCGCCCGGCTCGAGAACCACGTGATAAAAGGGTGCTAATGCTTCTTTCTGAGATTCGTCGTTTGTATGCTAGCGTCAGAACTGTTTCAACACCATCGACGTCAGAGCGTTCTAGAAGGGTGTACGCGATGTCTCCACATGCAATTTAATTGGTTACACGAACTGCTTCGTCCTACTCGTTGTCCTCGTGGGCTTCGCGGTAGGGACCACGGCAATGATCGATTGCACGCAAAGTTCAACAATATTTCCGGGATAGCACCGTAATCCATTTTCGTGCCCAAGTTTGGATTAGTTGGTTTACTGTTGTGTGCTTGCTCGTAGCCGTTGATAGTTAAATTTGAGTATTGGGTTTGGATGAGGCGTCCAGCGCCTGTTTGTGGTCCCACTCAGACACTCCTTGTCGTACATTGTTGTTCGACTGCTGCGGACCACCGGCGTAGGAGCCGGCTGACTCACCCACTCTTCTGACTCTCGTCGACGTCCAACAAGGTGAGGCAGGAGATCTCTTTCTATTTCTCTTTCCCTTTTCTCAACGATTGCACTGCTGTTCGCCTGTCTCCATCGTTGAAGCCCTTCATCGTGCAACCACCTGCAGATAGGGAACGTCACGCGCCCACCCAACCACAGGGTCGCCCCCATAAGCGGGGGGTTCGGGCTCTTACCTATTCCTGTACATGTAGAACATGGCCACCAACGCCGCAGGAGTAGCCACAGCAATGAACATCCAGTTCCGTCTTATCCTTGACGGAGCCGCAAATCTTCCCAGCAGCAGAGGAATCCTGTTCTGTAGACACAAAAGGGGGTTACACGTGCATTGAAACAACGACAGCGAGGTCGATTCGATTGAGTCGGTTTGGCACGGTACACAATACCGTGTTGGGTTTCGTCTCGATACGGCGACATCACGGCAGCATCTCTGTGACGAGATAACTGGAGCTCTACCCAAGAGCTCTGGTGTTGTCGGCTATGCATACCACATGGTGTGTGGCTTTTGTGACTAAAGTGCTCCATACACGTGGGGGAGGCGGCAGAGACAAAAAGAGACGGCAGGAAGGCGATTTGATTATCTCGACACCAGGAAAGCCGGAACTTGGTTACTTGCAGCAGTTCAATTTGCAACGCAGATACCTATGCATAATCGCCAAACGTGCAAACCGTGGGACTAAGCACGCGACCCAATAGATACGCTCCTACAACCTTTGCAGACACATGAACCGTTGCCTGCAAGCCGGAACATGTATATCTTTCTCGCCCGTCAGTTCGCTGACATCACGCCTGTTTTGCTCGCCTTCTGCTGCGTCTCGACCGTAGCGACTAGCTCCTCCGATGTTCTCAACAAGGCTCTGATGATGTCCCCCTCTTGCCCTGCCCCGATACCCGCCTCAACCCCCTCTTGAGCATCTCTTAGAAGATCGGCGAAGTCCGCCCTCGCCAGTCCAGCCTCCTCCTCTTCCGGGCCTGGAGGTACAGGTGAAGGGGGTCCCGCGGGATCGCGGTTGCTACCGTCCGAGGTGCCCTCGATGCTGGTTCTGAAAGCAGCAGGTTTGTCTCCACCCTTCTTCAGGCAATTGTGGGCCTTCGTCGCATCTCCTTCTTCAGTAGCATCTTCTTCTCCTTGACTGCTTTCCACCTGCTGTTGACCGCCTTCAGATTGACCGTCATCTCCGTCTCCGCTCCCACCTTGAGCGAACTCTTGAGCGTGTCGGTCTCGTCGGCCCAAGCTCAACACTCGCCGCAGCACAGACTGACCCCTTGTGTTTTTCGCAACACTAGACCCATCGCTCCTGACCCTACGCCATATACCGTTCCTATGTGTGGGGCTGCAATCTCTTGATGTCAACGCCGATGCCAGCGAGCGGCGGGGGTGGCTACTGCGGCTCCGTCTGCGGCTGGTGCTGCTGCCTCCGCTGGTGGTGCTATTCACCGGGGTTATTCCGTCGGTGGAGGGTTCTAGGGTACGTTGGATCAACACCAACGCTGCTGCCGTCCACTCGCTCAACGTGCCTTCCATGTAGGCCTGCACAGAGACGGAAACAGGCCACACACAAACGACAAACTGCTTTTACAGCTACAACAGCCTCTGGAAACGGGCTTGGAAGTTCAAACAGCTGCAGAAGCGCAACGAGAGCTCATCGTCACACGCCAAGAGTGGGCAGACAACAAAAACTCGGGCGCAATTTTATGTCACAGTGAATGATGGAGGCGAGTCAAAGTGGTTGTAGCTTTCACGTTGTAGCCCACGATAAAACACGGTCGGTTGATACGTCCACAAAACCCACCTGCTTCATCTGTGTCAGGTGAAGTTGTAGCGATCCCGCACTCAGCTGCATGGCAGCCGATACATCATTGAACATGCAGGCAGACAGCGGGGATGGGAAATTGAGTTTAGGAGAAATTAGGAGCGGTAACACGCAAATCATACATACCGCAGCCAAAAACGTACAAGCTGTGTGATGCTTGTTGTCAATGATGGTACACATGTCTTGGGTTGTCTCAGCTACAGACAGGGCGTTCGCGTGTTGCGCCCGTTCGCTACCACGACATGAAAACAAGGAAGGTGTCCAGCAAATGTCGATTGCTGTAGTTGCTGCTCATCACTTACGATTTTGTTTCTGAGGAGACGCTTGCAGCGGCTGAGACTCCCCAGATAGTACTCGCAGCAATCCCGAGTAGTGTGAGTCTTCCAAGTCCACGGACCTTACACAAAGATAAATCGGCGAATCGAGCGCCGAAGCACCATTAAGAGAACAACGGGCAGCAGCGAAAAAAAGATGGCTTGTCTTGATGCGGTTCAAAGAACAGTAAGAATTCTACCTCACATGACAGTGAGTGCAAATGCAGGAATCACTTTTTCAACAACGAGATACCATCTCATAATTACACACAAGATAGTGTACATACGGCAGGTACATTAGAAGAGTAGAGATAACACCCCACACACACAATACTACAGGCGGTGGTAAGATTTTTACAGGTCATCATGAGCCTAAACTAAAAAAACTACCTCTAAGATCGAGTTGTAAGGCGACATAAGATAGTAGCCCCCCCCAAACAGCAGCTACCCGGTGATGATGTGTTTAACAGCCAACACTCGTTTACCGGGGAATGCGTCTTGCGTGATACTGTATAGGGTAGGCTGCTGCTACCCACTCTGAAAGCGTAGCGTCGGACATGAGTCGGACATCGTTCCAGGGACCAGAGCTACTGAACGAGACAGCGTTCTACTGCTGTACCAGAGGAGAAAGCACATGTTAACAACGCCCAACCATTGGGCGTTGTACAAGACCTCTACCGCTACTGCTACCGCTTATCGACGCTCTTCCAACAATTGGTGCTGAAAAATACCATGAACGCAGCGTAACTCTCATGTCTCATGTCTCAATTAAACGACGCCACACAAACGGAGCACACTTCCGATTACCGCACAAGAGTGTTCGCGAGTGACCTAAAAACTGCAGTCAATCCCTTCATAGGCATACATGCGTTGAGGGTCCAACACAGCACCCCCAAACAAGTAGTCTACAGCACGGCAGGTCGTGCTATTTTCCCGCGGTTCGACGTTACGCGCGAGGATCCGTCAAAGCAACTTGGTTCCATGGCGTCCATCACGCCGAGCCGAGCTGACCGCGAAATCTGATGAAGGGCCTCAGTTACGACAGCAGTTCCTACAACACACCAAGCGAACACCTGTATACTCCAGCAGCGCGACTAACGATAACCACGGCTACCGTCAACCTGGCTAGTGCACGCGTGACATTTACCGTAGCGGGCACGGCATCAAACAAAACGCAAAGGTGTGCACCGCTGAAACCAGAGAACAGCGGGACCCACCCATCTCTATCCAGTTGAGGATGTTCGCGCCCGGTCGATCGAGGCGATGCTGCCAGAACTCCTTGCTCTCGTGGAGCACAAGGCATGCCTCGAGCTCGTTGTTCACCAGAGCCCGGATCTTCGGTTAGGATCATGCGTAACACGTGGCGGCAGGACACCCACCGGAGGAGGGGTGCCGGGGTCAGCGCAGTAGCCTTCGGAGAGTTGTTCTATTATCTGAAGTAAACATATTGCTTAAAGCATGCATCGAGGAAGTTGGGTTAGGGTTATATGGTCGGGGATACGGTCTGCGTACCCCCGCACTGTTGTATTTCCTCATATACTAACTTTCTCGCGAAGGCGTTCCGGTCAGAGGTCCATCGAGTAACGCCCAGTCCTTCAATGATTCCCATGACAACTTTCCGCACTATAGTTGTCGTGACACGCTAGAGGACCTCTTCCATCATCTGAAAATCACTCAATACGGTAGGTCATCCGTCGAAACGGCCGCGTTTTCGGGACGTTATCCCCCTGGAAACATGGAGAGCTCGCGGTGCATACCTGGGCTTCCGCGAAGTTAGCCGCCAGCATGTCTTCATCCCCGGCCATCTACCCAACAACAGGCCCCACCAAACGACATGTGCACAGACGAAAACAGAGCCAGGCGGAATTGTAAGACGACAACGTCATGGTGAATGGTGTTGCCGCTACACTCTACTTATGGCAGGCACGGGTTAGGACACATGCTTGCCAGAAGAACAGAATGTCTGTCATGTTTTGACGGAAATCGCCAACTTTACGCCATGGAGAATCAAGCATATGCTTACACGAGTAGCTGATGTGTACTTAGACAAGAGCTTATCGGGTATTCGTGGGCTGTCAAGCGAAAAACATACGGTTTCATCCCACACGAACCCGTCAAGTTGAAAATACCAACACCAAGTATCGCCGTAGAAGACCGTCGATGCGAGCGGGGATTAACCTGCAGGAAACACGGGGATGGGTTGGAAATGCACAAACCTCCGCGCCGTGGTGAGGGTGTTCTTCCCCTTCCTCCTGACGCTGGCGCATCTGGTCTCGGAACAGCCGGAGGAATTCTAGGTGCTCCTTTGGTGACGCCACCGAGCTGGGTGCTTCGCCCAAATCTAGCCCTCCTCCCTGTTGAGCCGTTACAGAACACAAAGATGGTCGAAGGTGAGGAACACTGCAACCACCAAACTGAGGCGCTTGTGTTGCAGCAGTACATGCACACATCGCATGGCGTATGAAGCCACAACAACCAATAATTCGAATGCTCACTTAGTGCGGGCGATCGCACAGGTATGCGAAAGATCGCTTTCTACTGTAAGGATTGATCGCTCCACGACCAAGAGGGAGGGTGCGAAACCCGACTGGCAGAGAAACTCTACACGGGATCTCTCCCAAACAATCCTTTTCGGCATCGGCAGCTGTGCTAGGAAATATAAATCCATCCAATCACTGAAAGATTCGAGATCGATCGAACACCTGTGCATTCGCCTCCACGTTCACGGCATACCAAGATCGACAAACGCTGCAAGGCGGGTTGGTTATCTGTAGGTGAAAACTATCGTCATGAAGAAATGTATTGTATTGCTCAGGTACATACGAAAGAGCGGCCGAGCAACTCTCTCTGTTGCGCGTGTCCAAGACGTTCCTTTTACCAATCGTGCATGTGCAAAACGTGCAAGGTCTAGTTGCACTACGACTGTAGTTGTTCAATTATTGTTGTTGTCGTCCCGTATCCTCTGTGCGCCAGTGTATTGTACACCGTTTGGTTACTCCCCTATAGACTGAAGTATATATTTGATTGTGCTCCAGAATAGTACTGAAGTATATGTTTGACGCACCAGCCGGTGTCACACAGGAGAAGGTAGAAAGTCTGTTGTTGCCGACGGTATACTGAGGACTGCAGTACATTATCGGGAGTCGTATCCAGCACCTCTAGCTGTGGGGTGTGTGGTGTCTTGAGGAATGCGGTGTGATATCCATCCTGCTGCACACGCACGGAAATCAGTGCTTACGCGCGACATACTGATGTAGAACACGGGGACCCAACAGTCGCCGTCGTCAAGGCTAGGAGTGCTGTTTTAACGGTTCCAATTCCATGATATCACCACAGCACACAACACATGGCAGCATCAGAGCGCCAGTTAGGATGGTACATGTGGGTTCACCTTGAACTTGGTGTTGTGTCGAAGGCGCATCATAGCTCCAACGAGTTTCACCGTATCGCCCATGTGTTGATGAGTCATTGTGGCCAAAGACTGGCGCACTTCGTCTCAGGAGGTTGGTCTGTGTCCAGCAACCGTGTTGCATGTGCCCTCAGGCTCCCTCCTCTGTCTTATTACGCAGGACGCAGGTACAACGCACAGCAGGTACAGCGCAACCTTGCAACGCGAACCGCTTTCCCGCCGCGACATGTTACGTCTGCTGCCCAGTCTTCGGGGCCCCTTGAAAAGGTTTGCAGAGATAAAAAAGCGTGAAGCGGCGTTTGAACCGCCCAATGGCCCGACAGAGTCTTCTTTCTCCTGCTGCGGCAAAGCTTTAGGTGCATGCTGACACACCTACCCTCGATGTATTCCTAGGGACAACAAGTTCAAAGAGTCGGGACGTGCAACATTACATATGTCATTCGAACGTTCTCTAAATTTATATACACCGGCAGGTTGCGTCACTTTATCTGGGAAATCCTCAGGGCGACTCCGAAAGCACCAGTCACCAGTCATATTGACCATGGAGTCCAGTGTCCAGTGGCTCATACGTCGGCGTCGTCGGAAGCCCATTTATTTCTTCCTCAAACCCCGGCCCGAGAGGGTAGTTTGTTGCCAGTGTCGTCATTCACATTTTCTGCTCGGCAAGCCGGTCGCCCCCGGTGGTACAATATATCCTCGAAAACCGCTACAAGTACAACAATAATAGTCGCAAAGGTCGTGAGTTCCCCATGGGGTAAAAAGCTTACAAAAATCGCGGGTGAAAGCGAAAAATAGCTGAAGAGCTCTCGTGAGTATCAAACTTCGACGTAAGCACCGTTAACGAGGGAAAGGGGCGGCTGGACCCTTGGCCCTTCTCGCGAAAAAAGTAAAATTCAGCACGCACCGCAGCAGGAAGGTTGGGCACGAAAATATATATAAACTGAAGAAAAAAGCCCTTCCGGGTATTTACCCCCTCCTGTGTGACCCTGGATGGTTGTGGTTGTACGAAGCTGTACACTGAAAAGTGCAGTACTCTACATACACATTTCACCACGAAAAACGGGTGGACTGTCGCCATAGTAAATAGGACGAAAACACGCGCACCCGTCCGAAATATTGTACTGACGCGGAAGCATTCCGCGGTCACGGGATACATCCACTCTACCAAGGACTTTTTTAATACGACAATCAAGAAGCGAGCGCCGGGGGCCACCGACAATCCGGTGGCGACGGCAGAGATGAAGCTGCTGAACGGTGGCAAGGAAACGAAAAGAAGGGCTTCCGCGACTACGACGAGGACGAAGCCTTTATCCTCGGGATAGGGGGACGACGAGGACGAGCACCAGGGGCGTGGGAGCGCGTATCGGCCGGGACTAGGAGGTCAGTTCACGCGGGTTGGTTGTACGGTCCACGAAGAACAATATTGTAATACTTCGAAGTTCAAGTATGTGGTACAGAAAACAAAGACAAGAAAGAGCCATAGCGTCAAAGGACGAACAAAGCTCCAGGAAGTCACATACATGTACGTCGCACTCCACGTACGTCGCAGTGTCGCAATCCACATGTCCGACAACGAGAACGGCGTATAGATTGAGCCCATCGTTCCCACTCGACCACGAGGGGCCAAAATAGGAAAGACAGCAAAACAGGACAGGAATCAAAGCTCACAAACTATTCCAATGCAATTCGCAATATGTACAACAGTAAGTATCATGGCTTGCACCCCTACTATTGTAGGAGGGCCGGGGGTAACGTCGGACCCCGCCATGCCATTTCCCCACGCACGTGTGAGGGGTCCAAAACCAAGACATGGCCTACACGAACAACATCTGCATACGATAAGTCAACCACATCCCGACACATGGCACGTGGTATGCCAACGAGAATTCCATGCCACGTGTTCGCCAGTCAGGCTCAAAATGGTCGTTCGCACACACACACGGGCGGCCAAAACATCACGTCTACGTTCTCGAAGGTCAAACAATGTCCCCGGTCCTGAGTTTGACTGTCTTGTCACAGGGGGGCACGCTAAACTAAGGCGTGGAGGGTCGGATGTTATCTCCAGTTTGTACGCATATCAAACTCTCGCCACGCCTGAAAAGCAGCCTTGAATACAGTCGAGTGCCGTCGCGCTAGCACATCTCGGTCGCTGTCGTAGCCTCCCCCCACCACGCAGGCTACCGGTAAACCCATCTCGAGGCACGTGCTGATGACGTAGTAGTCTCGAGCTAGAAGGCCCTCGTCTGTCGTGCGGCGATACACGGCACGGCAAGCACAACGAGCGTTGCTTCCATTTGCCAAGCCGTTAGGAGGCCAAAATCATTCGGCGTGCAGGGTAGCGCACCCCTCTTCTATGTTTCGAGCGTTCCCCATCTCAAGAAAACGACATATCACGAGGTGGCCTTAAAGAACGAGGAGCGTGGTTGAAAACACACAGGATGATCTGGCAGCGCCAACATATATATGCATATGTCTCACCGTACTAGCAGCCGTGCTGGCGAGGGCAGCCAACACGACAAATAAAGTCCTAGCGGGCGTCGGGATGACGAATGCACTCGCGGTTGTATCAGCGTTACGCTAAATATGCTGGTGTGCAAGGGCCCGATGCTCACCTGAAATGAGCATTTTCCCTAACCTGTCACCGGCATGCATGTCCACTCCAGCGTCTGCAAGGAAACGATGGACGAGAGGGGGGTGTATGTCAGACTGAACGTTCGTGCCTACGCCGGGTCGCTTGACTTCACGTGCTCTCGAAAAGGAGACGGGGGTCTGTCTGCCTCTCTCAACACCACGATCCTTCCCGTGAGGATCCACTGCTCCCGCCGAGTCATGCTCACAAGAGCCCTTGAACCGAAATAAGCCGACTGTGATTCAGTGTTCTCGCTTCAAAGCTGTCTTGTATGCGCTGCGCTTAATCCTCCGCGCAAACCCACGACGCACTCAAAACACCAAACGCAAGCGCACGCCCAAAATGACCGCGGCAGTGCCGCCATCTGGACGCGGTGATAGAAGAGGAAGTGGAGTGTACACGGCGACCTTCTCGTACCGTACAGAACAAGGTCTGGAGGGTATTGTGCGAACTCGTGCGGTAGCACCCGTCGTAGTGCCGAGAGTAAATCCTCATCGCCAGCTCCCGGCGGGAACCCCACGTCAATGTCGGAGGCCTATTAATGGGTTGCAGAAGAAGCCACATGAACAATCGCAAACAAAACAGGGCGACATGAGCAACAAACGGGACACAACAGCAGTGGAGGTACGGACCAGCAATTTAAATTGTTCCACCTTGATGGTCCCAAGCAATGAAAATACAACAGGATACCGATATTCCATGGCAGAGGCGGCCAGCAAACGTAACCATTCCACAATTTAACGCTGTTTGCACCAGAAGCGACGGTTTCAACCGTGGCCGTCGGCAGGGGATAGATAGAGATAGATAGATAGACAGCTGACCGGCACCTCACCGGTTTCACGGCCGGAAAATTGTCTTGGCAGTGGAATGAGAGTGTCCGGACGGAAGCATCGTCTGCGAAGATCGTTGCGGTGCCATCCCCTTGATGCACGTCACAGTCCACGATGGTCACCTACTGAAAACGTGGGGGTATGTAGCATACAGGATAAGCGAACTTAGTTCTCGAATCATGACATTCTTTCGAAGTACTACAAGGGCGCTCGGAATCAACACACAGGAGGTAAACCCGTTTGGGCCGATTCTTGTGTCCTTCGTTCGAGACGGTTGGAGCCGCATGGTACGTGAGCTCGGAACTATTTCGCATACCATGCGAAATCCGCAGCAGAGGGTGCAACAGAGTGTTCACCACTTCATGACCCGTCGTGACACGAAAGAAGACGGAGCACCACGCAACCTTCCGAGACCAACGCCATCTCACCCGTCACTATCACGAATCGTCTGCCGTAAAACACGAAGGCATTCCAATTTTAAACAGCAACGAGTTCCTCGGCAGTTGCAGTTCAGCCATTGTTCTCGGCTGAATGTACACACGACGCCACTATTTCCAAAGTCTTGAGGAAGAGCGCACACCTTGCTTGCAGTACCGTCTGCCTGGACCACCCGAGATGCCACCGCCAGATCATTAAGAATCGTGTACCTGTAGGCGGAGGGTGCGTGGCCATGTACAACCGGCCAAGGCGAGATCGTGGGCAGCGGAGAAGAACGACATTTTGAGTAAAGAAGAGGGTCCACGACAGCCATACAGAGAGTGTTCGGCCGTTTCAGCTCGCCATTTCGGAATCAGCCGCTTCCCTGATTGCGTTGGATACCGCCACGGCGGTCCTCTTCACGTGTATCGCATGGAGCTCCCAGGAAGCCACATGAACCCATAGTCAGCGACAGAAGACCCCCTTCCGCCCTGTGCCGCGAAATCTGCCGCTACTGCAAAGCCTGTAGGGGCACTTGGCGCTGAGGGCACTCGCAGCTGGAAGTACTATACAATCATCCTACAACAGAGAAGAAGCCCTACCCGCTCCCGAAGCCCTTGTGCGCGTGGTGCGTGCCCCCGGCCAAGTTGCAGGCTAGGCCAAACTTGAGGGCAAGTCGGGCCGCCAGGACGGTACCCGACACCTCAAGCAACGTCCGATCCACCAAAGGCTCGGTGTAGGGGAGGCCGATCCTGACGGCAGGGATGATGTGGAGATTGGCCGATGCCCGGACGAACGTTTCACCGGTTCAAAAAGGGGACGCATGTCGCAAAGGAAGGGCCCGCTGTTGGGGGGTACCCCAAGCACCAAAGTAGGATTAACGATTGGCGACGAGTTCAGCCCTACAGCAGCATCACACAAGACGAAAAAGCTCGGAGCCTGCAGTGTTCTTATTCGTGTCGAGAGCAAGGGTTAAGTAGCAGCAACCTGCGGCTCTGATCGAGCAGCGTCGTCACCTGCGTATGGCCTTCTCGTCCAATGCCCCGCCGACAAACGCCCTGTAGTACGGAGGATCGTGTACGGCTTCGAACCATTTGTGAGGAGGCCGGTCCATCGGACGAAACGCCCCCTTCATCGCGACCGGTCCTTCATCGCCAAGCGGGCCGTTGGTATCGGCAAGAAGTTCTGCGAGGTCGCTGAACTTTGACATGGGAAAACTGTGCTTCGGGGGCCATGGGTCCGCGCTGTAGCGCTCGTGATACACAAGCGGGGGGAGATCCTTGTGGACGATTCCACCAAGGCTTCTCTCGCCGAATAAAAAAAAATCCCATACATGTAGGTCAAACGTGACGCGAACAAGGCATCGGGAAGGTTCGGAGACGAGGGAGGGGGGGGGAGTTGTCAGCGGGATCACGACTGCGTCGCGTGCAACACACGCATGGCCCCCGACAGTATTGACGGCACATTCCGCCCTCTGGCATGCCATGTCCAGCATCAAACTCGTCGGTGCTAACTCCGGCAACGCGCACTCCCTTCAGACTACAATATCGGAGATGGTGAGGGTTGGTTCGCTCGCGAGGCAGTATCGATGGCAACAGCGTTGTAGTTATCTAGGATGCATACCCTATGGAAGCACGAGGTAGTTCTAACCCCGTGCTCACTAACGCTGGGCGCAAATATCCCATAAACAAAATACATCTACATGCCCACGCCGTCCCGTAATCATTCTACCGATTGCGACTACAGTACCGCCGGTTAGAATACCAGGTAGGAGTAAGGAGTACAGCAGTGAATATCGTGGAGAGCGGTAACAGAGCGATTGGCAGCGACATTACAATACGTCACCGCGTACAGGGAAGTGTACCTAGGACACCATACATGGATGTATGCACATTGCATACGGTGTGGTGAAAGCACGAATACAACACGGCGTCCGTGTTGAAGTGTGCTCAATTGAAATGTAGAGAGATCCTCCGTCAGTAGCAAGGCGGAAATAAAAAACATGACGTAACATATATGAGACACACAAGAAAACTGTCTTGTTGAGCCTGTTACCCGCAGGGGAGATGTCCCTATATGTTGTCTGGGAAATCGTAGACGTACAGGTACTTTCTGACGCTATGAATCCATTGCTAATCTGTCTCAGACTCTTTTCTATGATAGAGATGGTTTCGTTGTGTATTGATTAAGAAAAATAAAAAAAAACATCCGCGTTCCCCATGACCCACCTGCCAAAAAGTGTCCCTGCTTGCGTTCCGTTATCAGCCGAAAGCGAAGAAAAAGCTCGGAGTAAAGGGCCACTGCCTGCCTTGAGTGGTGCTAGCAAACGCATCATAGCACACACACCATCTAGGGAGCGCAGCTGTGGACTGGCGGACTGGCGGCTGTTCTGCTGACT